CAACAACACCACCGTCTACTTCAGTTTGCTGAAGCCTCGGCCATTCGACGGCTTAAACCCAATTTGTGTAAACAATTAGACTTTGTGGCCAGTCTTGCCCTACCCTGGTAGGATCGACCCCAGTCATGTGTTCACTCGCCGTGGTTGACTGTTTGACCTCTGCCCCTGTCCTGTGATTGGCCCAATTGATGTGTTCATTTGTCCGATAACCTGTCATATCTTTGTTGATGTTTAACCTTGATTGCCATTGTACGTATGCAGCTGATTGAGAGTACCCGAAATAACTGAATTCATGTTATCCTGCTGAAATGTTGTTCTTCCTCGCCGTGATGAAATTTGTCAAGGGAACTGGATGTATGATAGTTACTGATCGTCTAGTTTTAGAACGGAACTCGGCGACACCCAGCCTTGTACCATCACTTTGCACTTTGAAGATTCCAAGCACATGCCGAACGGAGTGAGAGAACTTGCTAATCCATCAAGGGCGCTTGGTGCATCCTCCATACAGTTGAACAAGCAGACGTCATCAGCGTACTCCAAATCGCAGCTTTTCTCCAGCTGCTCATTCAATACCTACATTTTGGAGACCACTAAGTGCATTTTCCAGTATTTCGTCTATGACATAATTGAACAGGAATGGCGAGAGGGCATTCTTTACGATCACCGCTGCTAGTTACGAACGACCTACTCAGCGTGCCGTAGATCCTTAAGCTACCAAAGGTATGTGAGTACAGTGAGCTCAGTATGTTCACGTACTTCTGCGGCATTCGTCTGCGAAGGAGCGAAGCCATAAGGGATTCACGATCAACTGAGTCGAAGGCTCCTTTTGGGTCAAGGAACACGACAACCGTTAGCCGACGATGTGTATGGCGTAGCTCGAGGACCTGACGCAAAGCCAAGATTTGATCGATACAACCACGACCTGGTCGAAATCCTGCTCATTTTCCGCGGATCTTTCCAAACGATGTCAGACGTCGAAGTATGATAGAGGCTAGTAAATTGATGACGATCGAGATCAAACTTATCTCAAGGTGGTTGGCGCAGTCGTTGCGAGATCCAAAACCTTTAGTTCTACCTACGAACTCACAACCCCCCATAGCCCTAACTAACATTCGTAGTTTTAATCGAAACGTTAATTCTGTGCACTTCTTTCTACAATCTTCTTCCCCTTGGCTTCATTTTTGACGGAGACACAAATCACCCTTCGTCAGATACTACTCATCTTCAGTTGCCTAATTACTTCCTCCTTTCTTCTTTTATTTCTAAAGCTGGTGTCAGCGCCTATATCCATCATTCTGTCGCTTCTTCCAGACTTTCACACTTGGACTTCTCCAACAGTGAAATTCAGCTTGCGGCTGAAATATTGGCTTTTCCTCTCACTTTGGAGGGAAAACACCTTTGTCACGGGAAGACAGTGTATAGGACTTCCTCATC